ATATATATATATATATATATATATATATATATATATATATATATATATATATATATATATATATATATATATAAAATGTCAGTTGTTATCTGTTTACTCTGGTCTTAATTTATGCATGAAATATGAATCAATAAATACAAATGTTTTCCAATGTTATCAATGAAAAAGTTTTCAGTGTTTTTCTTTTGTTTTTTTTTAAAATGAAAATTTCGTCATGAAGCCCTCCAAAAATTACCCGAAATAGGAAGCACCCACCCCCACCCTCACACCCCCACCCCCCACACACATTTTTTTCTTTTTACTTTCAAATTCGACTGGTCGGACTCATGAACGGGAGTGTTTTTTTTGAAAGTAGGTCATGTGAACTGTTGTAAACAAAACTCTACATAGATCAACATCAAATCCCCAGAACACCAAAGGGTTTGTCCAGTGCGAGATCAAATAATCGGTTTTGTCACAGATCTAATATTTAGATATCAATTTTGTTTCGTAAAATAATGTATTGTTTTGTTAAGTAGAAATAACAGGAAGTTAAGGAATTATGGGATAGATGAAAAAAAAAATTTACAATTTTAAAACATACTAAAACATTTATCTACATTTTAGTACTAGCAGTCGTACCCCGGCCATGTTCGGGTCTTTTTTATTTGTTTGCCAGTCTAACAGTGCCACTGACATTTTGAATCAGATGAAGTTGTACAGTTTTGTGACCGCAAAGCAGTATCAGTTTCCATAAACAGCGTTTCCTGCATACTTTGAAAACTTCATATGGTTTATTTTCGTTTCCTTAAATTAACGACAGCATTCACGTGAAGTTTGAATAATTTATGAAATTATCTTTAATTGATATGAAGTGGATCATTAAAAGTATTAAAAAATGAACACTCTGTTACAGTAAACGTATCAATAGTTTATTTGATAAAAATATCCATCTCTACGGTAAAATAGCTTAGCATATATAATTTCCCCCCACTACTACAAGTGTATATATCGTAGATACAGACACAAAACAGTTCAAACCACATATAAGACATAGCGAACATTACAAAAATGTTATGTTTAAAAAGAAAGACATACATAATCTTTTTTTTTTTTTTAAAAGATTCTCTATCAATCTATATCGTAGTAAGTATCCACAGCTTGAAAATTAAACATTTGCTATACAAAACGTGGATTATGCAACAAAGAAATGTGGCGTTTACTCCAAATCCAGCGTTTATATCAAATGGTCGTGTGAACGAGCGCCAATGGTTCTGAACTCTGAACTACAACCTCAGGGATGCACTGGGTGAACTTTTCGTGCCAGCCAATCAGATGGATGCATTTGTTTAATTTGTGCAAGAAGATCAACGATTGGGGCGTATCTGAACGTGGACACGTGTCTTAATGTGGACACACGTCTTAATGTGAATACACGTGTTAATGTGGACACACGTCTTAATGTGGACACACGTCTTAAAGTGGACTCACGTCTCAATGGGGACACACGTCTTAAAGTGGACTCACGTCTCAATGGGGACACACGTCTTTAATGTGGACACATGTCTCAATGTTGACGCACGTCTTAAAGTGAACTCACGTCTTAAAGTGGACACACGTCTTAATGTGGACACACGTCTTAATGTGGACACACGTCTTAATGTGGAACATTGTCTAAATTATGCCGTTGTCAGAATGTGTTGCCGAACAATTTTTACGAAATACATTTGTTTGACGGACCTTTGATCAAAATAAAATAATGCAAATTACCAGCAAAAATTAGTTTTATTAAAAAGTTTACACAACTCTCTCCCGTCCAACAAACGTACGTCCAGCAAACTCTTGTCCAGCAAAATTCTGTCCAACAATTTTCCTTTCTAAAAATAATTTTAATTTGTATATATTTACGGATGCAGTATGAATGTGGATGTCATGGCAATTGGAATCTTGCGAGAATTTAAGTATTTACCGGATTATTTTTTAATGTTCGATGTTTTCTGAATGTTTGATGTTTTCTGAATGTTTGATGTTTTCTGAATGTTTGATGTTTTCTGAATGTTTGATGTTTTCTGAATGTTCGATGTTTTCTGAATGTTCGATGTTTTCTGAATGTTCGATGTTTTCTGAATGTTCGATGTTTTCTGAATGTTCGATTTTTCTGAATGTTCGATGTTTTCTGAATGGTTGATGTTTTCAGAATGTTCGATGTTTTCTGAATGGTTGATGTTTTCTGAATGGTTGATGTTTTCTGAATGCTCGATGTTTTCAGAATGTTCGATGTTTTCAGAATGTTCGATGTTTTCTGAATGGTTGATGTTTTCTGAATGGTTGATGTTTTCTGAATGGTTGATGTTTTCTGAATGGTTGATGTTTTCTGAATGCTCGATGTTTTCTGAATGTTCGATGTTTTCTGAATGGTTGATGTTTTTTCAATGGTTGATGTTTTCTGAATGGTTGATGTTTTCTGAATGTGGCTATGCACCCTAATCATGGATGGTATTTGAGTTTCGATGCTGTAACGCGAAGAGAAAGTTTTAATACTTGTATTATTTTGAAAGCTTCTCAAATCCGTACTCCTTAACTCCAGTGATATCTGCTCCGGTGACATTGGCTGTTCTTTGTCTTCTCCGGAGATATTTGCTCTTGTGATTCCGTTTCCCCCAGTAATCTCCCCATCCATTTAACGTCCATCCGCATTGATACATTTGGCGTCAATAGTCGCCCGTCGCTGGCCATTGTTGAGAGAAGAGTCCATCGACCCCTAAAGAAAAAGTCATTTTCATTTGTTTATTTATAGAATCTGCGTCTGACCGCGGGCCTCCCCTCTCCCCCCCCCCCCCCCCCGGCCGGGGTTTTTCCCTGGACGCTGTTGACAACGGCATCAAAGGTTACTCTCAAACACATCGTCTTGGCTGGAACTACAAAGGCCTCCCCCCCCCCCCCCCCCCCCCCCGGCCGGGGTTTTTCCCTGGACGCTGTTGACAACGGCATCAAAGGATACTCTCAAACACATCGTCTTGGCTGGAACTACAACAAAAGCGGCCACTTAACCGAAAACTGAATTGATTTTTTTTTCGTTTTGTTTTTTTCTTTGTTTCAAGGTGAGGGCATCACCTGAAAAGTGCCTTTCAATCAGATTTTTTTTAAAAAATATATTTGAAGGAGGTTAAACAATCTTTTTCTATTTAATATCTTGTTGTTAATCGGGGATAAATCTTCTTAAATTTAATGGAATGTGGGGCCAAGTCATCGGAGCGCATTTGAGGTAAGTCAAATAGAAACGTGATTTTTTTTTACGAGGAGCACCTGGTGAAGTTCAATTGAATCGATATTCTTCGTTTTCATATAAATATAATTTCTGTTTTTTTTTGTTGTTGTTTTTTTCAGCCAGTAAATTCCAATCATCAACTTCAACGCAGAAAAACAACTTTTCCTTCCAAATTTAATTTGACGGTAAATATTTTTAAAAAAAATTAAGTTGACCGGATTAAATTAAAGATTGATGGACCATTTTTTTGTGTTAGTTTTAACCAGCGAAAAAATTGTGACATTTTGTCGTCTCGGTGAAATTGATTAGGCCACATGCATATCAGTCAATCAAGCTAATGAGCCAATCAGGGCAAATTATAGGTTAATTCGAGGAAGACGAGGGGGGAGGAGAGAGATATGTATGTTTCAGTTATGTTAAGAAATATCCGATTCTCATATAAAACTTATGTTTTCTCAAACATCTGGACATCAGTTCGGAAAACAAAACAAAAAACCCATCAATAATGTCTCTCACTACCAGCAACACCAGACCTGTTTACCACTAAGCTTTCGGCGGAGTAACTACATGTTTGTTTGAGATCTGAAAACTACTCTGACACTAACCCGGGGGGAGGGGGGGGGGGCGTAAACAGGTCTGCAGCACAATCAATGCGTCGTCTCGTCTTCACTTTAAGGAGGCCAGCCAGATGTGGACGTCTTTGATGCAACGGTAATGGACGTTAGGTTTTTTACTACTTCTAACACCAGTCAGATTGAACGTGAACAACAGGCCCCCCCCCCCCCCACTCGCCCCCCACCCCAAGTATCGGCACAACGACAGCGCTTGGTCTCACTCAACTAACTTCATTATTTCTCCTGACCAGTCTCTCCACGCCCCGCCCCCCATCATTCTGGCGTCCAATCAACATACACTTCCGTTTCGCCATCTTAAAAAAAAAATCATATATGGTTTCATTTCTTTAGTTGTTTTTCTTTTTCCT